ATAATAATAATAATAATGATTAATAACTTATTCTTATAGTCTCTGGAATTACATATTATTATGGTTTTATGCGCCACGTTGATCGATGCAGTCAAGACGATAAAAATGTATAGGTACCTATGTATACACTCGATTAATAATATATTATATGGCAAAGCTGTTAAAATATTAGTTGAACATTTTATTTTTTATTATACAGATAGATCGTCGATAATCGTCCGTTTAATAGTTGAGGCACACACATATATATTTATTTACGGATGTATTATTGCGTTTGATGTAACTTGATACACGGTCGTAAAGTGAATGATCTCGGAAAACGATTTCACGCCACACATATAAATCGACAAACTCGCAGACGAATAACGTCATTATACGAATACTTGCCACTCGTAACGATTAATAATAATGATGCTGCACTGTGTTTGTATATCGTCCCATCATTATATTATACAGGAATCTACTCGTGATTTTTTTATTCCCGTCCTTCGTATAAAATTGACAATAAACGAATTCCTTTTATACAAAATTATTTATTTTTATGTTTTTCAATCATATCACAGGTCACGGGAAGCATATTATCCGGCTACCTTTAAATTAGTGGCAAACGGAGTAACTATGATAAAACGAAAAAAACAAATATAGTGATTTATAACCGCTAACAAAATTGGATGACTATTATCTCTACAACTACACTATAACACATAAAAGTAGGTAAACTTATAGAATATTTTGATGTTTTGAACTTTGAGATAATATTGTTCCTCGATTATTATCGCTCTATGAAAAATCGTACCCATTTTACGTTACACTCGTCTTTGGCATACTCGTATAACATATTATATTTAATAAAAATAATATAAGCATTAAACATACATAAATCGGATGAATATTTTATAGAAAACAAGACGAGATCGACTTTTCGTCAAAAACTTTTCGCGCGTGCACACGATAATATTGTACGTAATATATAATATATTAAAATATTAAACATTATAATACGTATAAAATATTATATATAGATAGGCGTGAGTGCGCTCAGTCACGTAGTCAATAATAATATTTCCCGATTTTTTTCCATCGACCGACCATCTTATATTAAATAATATTATGTATGTATTATAATATTAATATAATCGTGTTTGGAATTTAATCGGAGGGAAGCTCGGGTAATTCGTCTAAAYGCGCGCACACACGCACACACATTCGCGGATGAAGACGCACAAGACAGTGCATATCTATACGCATTGTACACAGTGTTTAATGAAGTAATACGATTTTAATAACCGGTTTAACGGGCGGGTGTGCGTATACCACGGTATATACAGACGATGACACGGATGAGAGGGTGTGCACGGCGCGCGTGTGTGAAAGTGTGCAAATATTTGGTCTGGAAGTATAGCAGAGGCAACAGCAGCTGGGTCAGGCGTGGTGAAGCTTCCTATCGTGCGTCGGGGTTAAGTGTTAGATACGGCTCCCCGGGGATCAGCGGTGGGGGTGGCGGTGACGACGGCGGCGGGGCGTTAAGAAGCCACCCTGTGGGATATACGCTTTTAATATTAAATGTACCTATATATAGTGCCACGATGTGCAGCACCCTCGGAGGAATTTCACGGCTTCCCGGTTTTAGCTGCGCGMGTATATATTATTATTATTATTATTATTAGATGTATATACGCATATAATATTATATATAATGGCGGAGGGTGATGATGGCCCGTCGACTACGAGTCCTGCGCGTATATATTATTACATTGTAATTTATCGACGTCGACGATGTATATATAGTTATTATAAGTAGGTACCTACGTCATTATTATCGTATGATAACATTATCTTTATAGTCGAGTGGCGTGTAAGATTTCGTTCGTTTATAGCTGCTGACCACGGAGTCGGTCAGTGAAGGGTATAAAAATCGATTCTACGAAAATACATAATACCTATATATCCATATTTTATTACACATTATGTGTCGCGGAGACGTGTGACAACCGCATGCGAGCGATTTATTGACGCAGCACTTTAATATAGTGTGTACATTGTTTGTCACAATATATACAACATAAACCTCGCCCAGTGCTTTATAAGTTATAACTACAGCTTATGTTGCGCGGGAAAGACAAATTATTGCGACCATCYGATGTCCGCTAATTTAAGTAAATACGTATACCTAATACCTATATTATAATATATCGGTAGATAAGTGAGTTGTGAGTGTATTAAACTCGTTTATATACGGCAGAACTCTTGTCTTATATTTTGTGTATGTAAAAAAAAAAAAATTTGTTTTTCATGAAATGAGTTACGTTCCGTATGAATACAATTGTATATTCTATTATATTCGTTAGCCACGACATATAACCATATAATACATAATAACTATACAATTTGTGTGATAGTTCATGATGGAAAGTTTTACAGAGCGAGAAATTATCGAAACTTGTGCATTGTATAATAATATATATACGGAATATCTACGAAAATAGTGATATTTATTATCATTGGTCTGCGTTTTGATATAAAGTGTGGCGTGCGCTACCAACTAAAACCATCACTATACTTATCAAAAAATGTAAAACACTTCATAATAGGCTATATATAAAGGTTCTGAGATGTTATTCAACATTTTGTTAGGATTTGTGCCTAAACATATTTTAAATTAAGAAACARCTGAGTTTATTTTATTATAGGATTGTAAAGAAATATTTTACCATCATAGTTAYATTAGAAATTATTAATGGTTTTAGAATATAGAATCCAATGTAGTAATTCATTTGAAAATATTGTAGTGTCACTTTTGATATAATACTGAAACAAGGCTACCTAGCTGTGATATGTTATACCTACTGGGTATTGTATTGCGCCAATCCAAGTAATTTGATTTACTGTAAGTTCGTATTATAGCGCCGTTAAAAATTCTGTGTTATTCTTTCAATGATCGGACGCTCTATTTCAGGGAAAAAAMTATTTTATCACACTGTTTCTAAATCAGCTTTATTAAAATAAAGCTCTATTTGCATCGATCTGAAATAGTATAATGCGCTACTGTATATAGCGTCGCTATACATTTGACCTCTGATTATATAATATACAATATACATAAATATTAATATAAGTAATCGCTCGCTTTAAAATATACATTGTACCTACAGCTMATTCTTTGAAAATTATGATTTAGGCACTTCTTAATACAAATTATATTAATRATTGCTTTAGTGCRACGAAAAACATCTTTYAATATACCTAGGTACTAGATACATCATATTAATCGACGACGTTATACGCATTGTTGTCACGTTATAACACAAAAGGAACAAAAAMATATATATGGAAACAAGGATTATCTTACAGAAACATCGCGTCGTTTACGAGCGGTGGTAGCCGGAAATCCAGTGGGAAATTATGTCCACCAGTTCCCATAAATATGGAATTTATCGGGGAAGATTTTTTTATTTTATCTACATCACATATCTAGTCATGTCGATTTTTACTGAAGGTATACGTCGTGTACGAATAAATATAGTAGATTCAGCCCGCTAAACGCAAGCCCAAAGCATTTTCCTAAACGCAAAATATAACAATATATAATATTATTATATATATACACGATGAAAGCTCGGTCGGATGTCCACGCCGTGCGCTACTATAAAAGAGAACCCGTCGCGCGCGCCAAACACGGTTTAGCTTTATCCAAGTCGTTATTTTTCGACGTGCGCATACCCCTTTTTCAACCCCATCTCTGCGTGTCCCCCAAGAGCACTGACGTCGGATTCTGCTTATACATACCTACTCTATCCTCTCTCACACACACTAGACACCAATGTATATATAAACTATATACATATAGACATTCTGAAAGCGTTCTCGCGTCCTTCACTATAAATTTCGACGTTGTATATATATATATATATATATATATATATATTATATATGCATGTATAATGTATATACATATTATATTGAGA